CAGGCAGTCAGATAGGGTGAGGCCCTCAAGGGAATCAGTACCAAAGATGAAATCACGTTACAGCTGTGGCCGGAGACACACCTGTGGGATAAAGACAGTGGTCAGGCCTCAAGACAGAGGCAAAGTGATCAGGACCAACCCAAGGGCTAGATAAGTGGCTATACCTGGCCTGATAAAGTCTAAGTAGACATCAGCCACCTGGTGGGTGATCAAGGCCTCCGGATCCATGCTTTCCTAAAACTTCTTTGTTCTCTCCATTAACCCTTGCTACGTGACTCGCTTCCCCATTGGGTCAATCATAACTTTCCCCCACGTTGTTCCTTCTTTGTTTTTTTAAAAAGGAAGAATTAAAATTTTATTGTCATTTATAATCAGGCAGGCACTTATTCTACTGAGCCATCTCCCCAGGCCCTGTCATTTATAATCAGATGGCAGTTGGGTATATAGTTTCCATTCTTATTTTTTGTAAATTAAAAAAAAATTAAAAGTTTTAAACAGCTGATAGTTACGTTCTTCAGAAAACACAGTTAGTCTAACTCATTAATGGTGGTGTCAGGCTTCTCCTTATTAGCGTCAGAACACTCACTCACCTTCTTCCCCCTTTTTAAACCAGTGGAAGGGTGGCACGCACTTGACTTCGCAATCTGCAGCAACGTCCTCGCGATCATCCACATCTACTTCAAGGAGCAACATGTTGGAATACTTTTCAGACTGAGAATGAAAGAAAGGCTTGATCATCTTGCAAGGCCCACACCAAGTGGCTGAGAAATCAGCTAGTACAAGTTTATCTCCTGCGGCAGCCAGGGCTTCCTGAAAGGCCTCTTTGCTTTCGATCTGCAGCACCGTGCTGGCTGCAGGGGACCTGACGAGCTCCCGAAGCCCACCTCAAGGTCTACCACTGATGGACTTGAGTCATCCAGTGACGGTGGTTCACTGTGAGAGAATGTACTTGAGGTCCAAGTCATAATTAGGTCACCCAGAAAACACTGAATCCACCAAGAAGGATGTGTAGTCCAGAATTATCCTGAAAGTTTTAGCTGTGCACTCAGGGGCTGAGCAACGTTTGGGTTCACCTGGCTCTGTGAAAATACAGCCATTCGCTTAAACCTTTGGAGATCAAAGCTAAGCATGCTCCTCAGTGGTAAGCAAGGGGGAAAGGCTGAGATGTGCCCTGACTGAAAGGCCTCCTGTGTAGAAGATCAACACGCCGAGAGAAGCTAGATGTTTGAGAAAGTGCTAACTGCTGAGCACGCGCTGTCTGCTGAGCGCTGTTTTAGGTCCTAAGGTTGAGGTGGTGAGGGAAAGAGAAAAGGTCCAGCCTTTGGTATGCTTGTATTCTGATAGGGGATGGCAATCAACAAACAGGTAAATATATATAATATGGATAGTGGATTAGTACCTGACAGTCCCTAATGGAGCTCATCTCCTGATCCCTGTGCCCTTGGGAGGGTTTATCCCTTCTCCCTCAGGCTGGCTTGGCCACGTGACTCTTCTGGCCAGTGAGACATTGTCAAAAGTGATAAAAGCAGATGCTTGGTAGGCGCTTGTGCTTGCTGGGGCCGCCCTCTGGAGGCATCAGCATGTGAGCACCCAGTGCTGTCTGCTCAACAAGGACAGCCCACATGGAGACAGAGAGCCAGCAATCTCAGCTGGGCCTGATGGTGCCAGCCCCAGCACCTGCCAACCATCCAGCATGATCCATCTGGCATAAATGAGCTGGCAACACCAGCCTGAAACCTCCCACCCATCCCCTACAAGCAAGACAAGTAGCACCTTTATCTTTAGGGACTAAGTTTTGTAATGTCTGTTACTCTTGCAATAGATAATTAACATAATATGTAAGAGAGTAATAAGTGCTAAGGATAAAAGTAAAGCAGAGAAAGAGGGAGCACTATCATCTGTCGATACTTAAAATGCAGTGTGGTCTTGGTGCAAGGATTCGCATGTGGATGAGAGGAATCGATCCCTGAACCCATGTTCCCTTGCTTATGAGGAGGCTTGATATATGATAGGAGTGAAATTGCAGAAAAGGAAAATATAGCCATGGGATTAAATTATTTAATGATTAATGCTTGGAAATAATCTATAAAAAATGAAAATTAAGCCTTTAACAAAAGTCAGTTTTGCATGGATTAAAGAATTAAATGAAACTAAAACTAAAGATTGGAAATTAAAGCTTCTCAAAGAGACTACTGCACAGTGTATGCTTTTCACAACATCATAAATACAAAAGATTTCCTTGAAAGAGACAAAGCAAAGTCCTTAATGTAAATGACTGCTGTGTTTTGCACTATAGCTTAACATAAGACAAGATAATTCTTTTTAAGGCTTCAGGTTAGAAGGAGGTATTGTAATGTATAATAGGCATGACTTACTAATTGTCTAAAAGTTCTATTCATCACTAAGAAGGGAGCAAACCATTAGAGTAAAACAGACAAAACAGAAAAGGCAATACACAAATCAGTTGAAGGAAAAATATATAGAGACACTCAAGTCCGATTCATTAAAAATCACAGAAGTATAAATTAAAATCAATATAAATTATTATTTTACATCTACAAAGCTAAAAAAAAAATCTTTTAAATCTGACAGTGCCAGGTACAGATACCGTTGTAGAGAAACAGAAACTGTTCTACACTAAAGGGAGCTTCATGTTTAGCGGAAGCTCTTTGCAAAACAGTAATTTTCAAGAGCGGCAACTCATAGTTTGAGCTTTGAAGTCGGTTTAGTGGCTGGCTCATCACTAGCATTTTTTTAAAAGACAAACTAGACTAGGGTAGAAGGAAAAATGTCAGAGGCCATCGTGTGTACCAACTGGTAGCATTGTTTAACAAAACCTTTGTTTTAGTTACAAATAAATACAAAGCAAATTCTCTCATGAAACTATTGTTGGGATAGATATATTCCCATAGGCTGTATTTACCCACAATCGTATCAATCTATGTGAGCAAGTCTGTTGTTGCTGGTTTATGCTAGAGAGCTTATCTTAAACATCTACTGTAGGGGGCCTGGCCCTAGCTCAGGCCTTTAAGTGGCTGCTTCCACAAAGCTGTCAGCCTCAGGTTGCTGGAGTTCGAACCTCACAACTCTCCCGCTGGCCAAAAGTGCCCTGAAGGCATTCGAGGAAAAAAAAAAAAAAAAAAAAAAAAAAAAAAAACATCTACTGTAGAGTTTTATACTTAACAAAATAATTTTTTTTTTTTTTTTTTTTTTTTTTTTGTGGAACCGGGGATTGAACTCAGATCCTTGCGTTTGCCAGTCAAGCGCTTATCCTACTGAGCCATCTCCCCAGCCCAACAAAATAATTTTAAAAGAAGTCATTAGTCCTAAACTCATCTGTAAGTTAGTGGTATTGCTATAATAATTTCCTAATGTCTTCCCAACCTTTGTTTAAGTCAGATACCCACATACATACTTGGAGAATTGGTTTTCCTCTTTGGACCTCACGTGCACAGGATTGGAGTCATCTCTTGCCTGATATTTCCGTAAGGTTCTTTCATGTTCTCCGGGCCCAGCAGATATGTAAAGCTGATCTGCGTGTATGTTTGGATGTATCATATGTGCCCTGCTGAATGGCTGGAGACGTCTCTCTACAGTTCACTTGACACAGTGATGTGTTCTCTGCAACTACTGGCTGCTTCTTCCTCAGGCCTTTACCACTCTCCACCCTCCATATGGATTGGGAGGAGGGATTCCTTCTTTCACTGTGAGAACCCCTGGGGGTGGTACTGAGAATACATCCTCTGAAGGAATGAGGATGTGACCTCATATATGTGAAGGTGGGGTTTTTGTTGTTCTGTTGTTTTTGTTTTGTTTTACCGCACTAGGGATTGAACCCAGGGCCTTGAAGTACTCTTACAATGAGCTACACCTCCAGCCTGTGCAAGTGTTATGGCTTAGAGCTAAATTCTCCCCCGAGGCCCCATGTACTTGGAAATCAAATGCATTATGGGAGTTCATAGCTGCCTTCTGCTTGGAGCCCATGGGGCATGAGCAGAGAGGGCACATCTGCTCGCCGGATCCTCCCACACTGCCTGCCTCCCTCTCCCATGAGCTGAGTATCTTTCCTCTGAGACCCCTCCCAGTGCTCCCTCTGGCTTGGAGCCTGCTGACTCTGGACGGAAACCTCTACACACTCTGGGCCCAGGCAAACCTCTTTTCGTTTGAGTTGCGGCGTTGGGTATTGCGTCTCCTTATGAGAAAGCAGCCACATAGCTCAGTGGACTAAAGCTCCTGCTTAAGCAGGGTGCAGCAGCCAGGGTTTGATTCCACAGGACGCCGTGTGGGCCCCGCACGTGGGGTGTGTTCAGACAGCAATTGAGGCTGGGTGTAGTAGTATGCCCCTATAATCCCAAGCACTTGAAAGGCCGAAGACAGGAGAATCACTACTAGTCCAATCTATGTAGAGACCCTGTAGACTTTATAGACTCTGTCCTAAATATATAAAAATCAATAAATAAATGAAAAAAATTTTTTTGAAATTTTATGTACTTTTAAACCATCATTTAAGTTGGTCATAAAATATTCTTATCATCTCTGTATTATGCAACATATAATGTAGGCATATATTAGTTGTGGTCTGTGTACAGAGAGTTAATTTTCTCTCAGATTTCTATTTTATAACTAGTGTCAGATCTCTCTCTCGCTCTCTCTTGCCAGGGAAGCGCTTATTCCACTGAGCCATCTCCTCAGGCCTCTGTCTTTTTCTTTTGGCAGAACCAGGGATTGAACTCAGGCCCTTGTGATTGCCAGGCAAGTGCTTATTCTACTGAGCTAACCCCAGATTTTTTTTTTTAAATAAAAACAATCATATTTATAGATCATCCACATGGCTTTTCCCAGATTATAAAACAAATAAGATTTCACAAGCATTTATTAAATATTTTTGTGTATTCTATTTCAAGCACTAAGGACATCGAAATAAGTAACTAGTTCAAAAAATGGCCCGGCCCTCAAGAGGTCACAGCAGGATTTTCTTGACAGCATGGTGAGGAGGAAGCTTAGTACTTGTGAGACAGACCTGGAGGTCTGAAGTGGTTGGGGTCTTTGCCACACCTGCCCCATTCATTGGCAAACTGGTTGGCTGCCGTGTCCTCTGCTCCACAGCTCAGGAAACTCTGAATACGTTCCCAGGCATCACTGCAATCATGACAGGATGAGCAGAAATTAATAACAAGGCTGATAAGCAACAGCCCCACCTTCTTGGCTCCCATCTCCCCAGAATGGTTCTCAAAGGAGCCTTGCAAGATCAAGGCAGCGGAAGGCAAGGTATGCACACACTGTCTGGCACCCATGCCCAGCACATCCTTACATTGGGTGGACAGCATTAGAGAAGGGGGACTTGGAATCAAAAATTCCCATCAGGCAATCAGGCCCAGCACTAAGTGCACAGAAGAAGCTGCGACAAAAGGAGGAGGGGGCACAGTGTTCACAAGCAACGGCTCCACATGGAAGAGGAAGCCCCTCCAGGCTGTCCAGGCCAGGCCCTCTCTGCTCACCCAGGCCCAGCTTCCCAGGAACCTCCCTCACCTGATGACTTTAGCAGCCCAGACATCTCCAGGTCCCCTTCGGGCAGCATCATAGTTCCCCCGTGCGTGGAAGTATTTGTCCGAATTCTTTTTTTTTTTTTTTTTT